CTCGCTCTGTTGTATTCTGTGTGTTAATTACTTGTTAAATATCCATCTTCTATAATTGTAAAGTGCTGCGGAATGTGTTGGCGCTATATAAATAGTAATAATAATAATGTCACAAATATAACCCGTATCAGTTACACTGTCAATTTATATGTGAATTCAACTTCTCTCATTGGGACATTAAATGTTCAGCTCCAGGCCCATGAAGCCTTCATCCAGCACTGGGGGTTGTTGTTCTTCAACAAATGGAGAGTTACTTGCTGGCCAACCCTTTTCTCACCAATACACAATCTAAAATATCCAGCCCAGAACATGCTCAGACATCCTGAATATCCCACTTGACAATTTGTAACAGTTGGCAGTTTATGTTGCTTGTTAACATTTTACAACATCCTGAAAGACGCATCTTTCAGGTTGTTAATTCCAGGATGGCTTATCACATTATATATAGAGTTCTGTGAAATCTATTATTGTAACTCATTAAACAGCGGAATCCATATGAATATTTACATCTATAAATGACACAATTGGAAAAGTATTGTTTGAGTGTGTTCTTGTGAGTTAAACCTACTGGTCTGAAATCTAATCTGTCAAAATCTGCCTATCTCTAGAACAAGCAATTGAGAATTGATTAGGGGCTAGGTACACAAGCTCCCAATTATTTATTGCCAGCACATCCTAATGTGTACTATCATCTCCAAGTATGGAAGATTGACAGTATGCTGTTATTCAGGAATTGACAAAGGTGTGACACCAACATTTTGGTCCATTTGGTCCATATGTTTGTATGTTGGGGTTTTTATGTTGGGTGTTAAAGGAGCACTTCCTAAATAAAGGAGCACTACCTTAACTGGTATCTCTACGGTCACCAGCACCCTACAGCACTTCAAGCATAAATGTAATCAGTTGTAACCTCGGTACCTGTACCACCTCCAGCATCAACAGCAACAATGGAGGCACCAGCACCGACAATATTTTAAACTTCGTGACCAGCATCCAACACTGGGCCAAGGCAATACCACCCTCCCACCAGAGAAGATACTCAGCTGAGTCACCTTTATCACCACCTTATGTTTCATAAAAGAAGATATTTGTTAATGACCTGGTCCACATTTCAAGGATGCAATAAACAAACAAGGGAGCAACCTTGGCCCATTTGCTGCAAACTCGCAACATCTTAGATGGTCTGTCACAGATAGTGTACTATGTTGCCACTTTAGTTACTGACAGACTGACTTGGTCCTCTCTTGGTATGCAGGACCTGTTACATCTACTACAGCTGCAAGAGCAAGCACTTACTTAGAATCTTCCTGTGTTTCATTTGTATATAGACTGTTTTAGAGACCGTGAAAACCCCTATTTATGCCCAAGCACCCCTTACAATGACTCTGCCCTTGTCCTGTGCATGAGGGGGTACTCCTCCATATAGCCAGCAGACGCTTAGTATTCCCCTGCCGTCTCTCAATGAACATATTTATCTTGACTTTACAATATTTGTGATTACTCAATGTACTCTCTTCTTGCAAAAGTAAATTATTTTTAACTAAAATTTGAACATAAGCGTATGAAATTTGTTGGAGATGTGATTTTGCTGGTTACTTTAATAAATAACTGGGAAGGTAAATGTCACCTCAAAAGTAAATCCAATAAGAAAAGTATATGGTTCCAGCGTACATTTCAGGTCTTTTAGTGCAACGCTTGGACCTAGAACATGACTCGCTCCTCATCCCTATACTTTTGGTTATTGAGTTTAGTTCTTTTTTTCAAGTATAAAACTTACAATTTGTATAATAACTAGGAACAAATGGTTGAAGTATATTATTTGTGTTTAAAGTGCTTATGCAGGCCATAGAGGGGTTAATATTTTTTTACTGTCTATCTATTGCACGTGTTATATTGTAATTAAAGGGAAACTATAGTGCCAGGAAAACAAACTTGTTTTCCTGGCACTATAGATTTCTTATTTTGTCAAGGCCCCTTCCCACGTGCATTAGATCTCAGAGCCATCGACTGCATGAGCGGGATGCACATCGAGACAGCTCTGCGAGCTTACCCTGATAAACCGGGCTAATAACAGTCCCTGGCCCCACTATCTCGCTAAGTGGGCACCAGCCAGACGCCCTGTGATATGGGGAAAAGAACAAGAAGCATCGAGCGGACCCGGGCTAGGGCTCCCGCGATGTAGGACACTGCGGCCGGAATCAGCCAAGATGGCACCGACTGAGGCCTGCACACCAATGTCGTTGGATGATGACAGAGCCACCGTTGACTTCTTCCCTCCATCTCGGCCATGCTTAGTGCCACAGACAGCTAATGGCATGCTTAGTGCCACAGACAGCTAATGGCATGCTTAGTGCCACAGACAGCTGTATCGACTAAAGCAGAATCAGGGCACTAATGGCGGAAATCAAGACTATGTTCAATGCGGACATGGCTCCAGTCCATGAGGCGGTATCTAAACTAACAAAGTGCAAGCAATGGAGGAAAGTATGGAGGACACCAAACTAGCACAATCAGCCACTGATGACGCTATAGGAGCGCTACAGAAACAATGCACAGACCAACAGGCACAGATAGCCACAATGGAGGACAGGGCCAGAGTACATAATTTAAGAATCCAGGGAGTAGCGGAAACGATTGCAGAAGCAGAACTCCCTTACTACTGTCGAAGGCTCATTGCCACACTGCTAATGCCCAAACATGCAAAACAAAGAGTGGTAGACTACTGTTTCCAAAGCTTCCCGCATAGCTCAAGACGCACCCAGAGACGTTCTGGTGAAATTGACCCAGGACTCTTACCGCGGAGCAATCATGGGGGCCGTGAGGGGCTCCCCCACGTTGTCGCTGATGTTTTTCCGGGACTTTTCCAGACACACCTTAGCATGGCAAAGATCCCTCAAGCCAGTTACCCAGCTACTGCAGGAGCACTCTATTCCCTACAAATGGGGCCCACGCCAAATCCTAGTTGATACGACCGGAAAGCTACACACGTTGATGTACCTTTCTGAAGCACCAGCTTTCCTCCAGTTCCTAGGCATACCGGCGGAGAAGACACTACAGATGGATCGCCCATCCTGGACTGTAGCACCTCACTCACCTGAAGTCTGCACCTGCAGATACCTGTCTCATTAGTTTGCACTGTTTTAGTTTGCAATGTTGAATGTAGCAAAGAACCGCTGATAATTCTCCTATAACCTTCCATATGTTTAAACTGGCTCCGTAAGCTGCTGGACTAGCCCCGTGTTCAGTTCTTCCCACCCCCCCATCCCTCCCTTTTTTCATAGAATGTGCATAGGCCTATAGTTTGGTTTCTTTTTCTTTTTTTTTTTAAAGCATACCTATGCACACTTGGCCCACGGCCTAGGCCTTCCTTACAAGTAAATGTTCCTCAAGCGGTGTCCTGCTGCTAATGAAGGCTAGTGAGCCTATTACTCACCCCAAAAGGTGCCTTAGATGAGCCCATGGTTAACAGCTTTGCGAGGACAAGAGCTGTAAGGCGCTATAAGCCCCATACCAGCACCCTTTTTAGATATAGACAGACTTAAAGCGCACTAGCCACAAAAATGAACAATTAGTGGAATTATGTTATGAGATCTTAATATCTTCGTTACTGTATCATGCTTGTTACTGTATGTTTCTTATGACATGTTATATTTCAGCGATCACTTGCAAAAATAAAGATATATTTTTTAAAAAGCTGAAGAAAGAGCCCCAAAGCGCTGTCTGGATCAGTCTCTTAATCCCCATTCACCCTATGCCCACAATAGGCAGAGCGCTGTCCATAACTTTGGATGAATGCTGCAGACTTATGTGCTGAAATGGGAGCAGGCGGTACATGGAATATCTCAGGAGCAGGTCTCCCTGCGTTACCACAAGCTTTCCATGAGACCCAGTTTCGGTCTGGGTCGGTACCTGCCTCCATGCCACTGTTTTGTGAGGCAACCTCCCTCGTTTGGTTCACCACCAAATTGGGGCCTTTTCCACTAGTAACATGGTGAATTCTGGTGGGGACTTGGGTACGGTTGTCCGCTGGAGTATTTATTCAGCAGTGGTGGCACTTGTTGTAGCTTTCTGCTGGTTAACAGGTTCCAGAAATTATCAAAGAGTCTGTTCAGCCTAGACTCAATATATAGTTGAACTTCGCTGCGGCCAGGAAGACATGCAGCCTCCACCATATTGGGAAAGACGCAGATGAGTTTGTTATCTTGGATTGCCGCACTCTGCGCTTCCTCTAGCTCTTGTTGCCTCCCAGGGGTGGACAGGGATCATCCCCACCGGTCCACGGGGGGAGGAAGGGAGGCAAAGGGGTTCTTGCTGGAAAGTAGCTGCTCCTGGGCATCTCCGGATCGGAAGGTCGGCCGCCTCCCCTGCCCGGTGAGCACCAGGCCGCACTTGCCACGAAGAGGTGAGTAAGCCTCTGTCAAGTCGCTGATTCCTATTAAGCATGTCAGATCGGTCAAGTAGTAACAACATTTCTGGATTATCCCCTTCAGGAGTGAAATGAGCTTGCCGAAAGCTGCTTGCAGTGGGATAGTGAGGGAGCTTACTTGAGGTGCATCTCTCTTCCATGACAGTCAGGCCTCACCCCCCTCCCCATTTATTACATTTTAATATGCCTGTGCACTTTTCCACTTGAATTTTTGCATGCAGCTCTGACTTGCATCATCTGTTCCCAGATCCATCTACCTGTAATCTATGGGGAAAAAATCTGAATTTTTGCTTGAGAAAAACCTTTGTTGCAGAATTGTAAAATGTATGATAGGCCTCACTGGTTTTTAGGTGAAAAAGAGACCTGATAACATATAGTCCAATATTTTGGAATTTTTTTTCTCTGCGTGAAGAAAGGAGCTTTTTAGAAAACAGACATTATTAAAGTAACTCTCCAAGCACCATAACCACTACAGGAGTGCTCTCACAACCCCCAATGTAAGTAGTCAAAGAGTTTGATCACAGTCTGACTTGTTACCTGGTGTCCAGGTGCTGCTCCCCACGCCCCACCCCTAATGTTTATGGTGCATGGAGTGTTTTTTTGCACTGTGCTTTTTTTGCACACTGCATTTCATAAAATAAGGCCTCTGGATGGTAATATAAGCCGTATATATAATATGAAATGAAAGGACTTTTTAATGAAAATATGATCCTCCATAAGCTAAAAAATTTTTTGCAATGCGCTTTAAATCCCAAGCATTAGCAGTAAGCATCTTCTTTGAGAACGACGTTTTACTTTGTTCTCTCGGCCAGGTGAAGAGACTTCCTTGCAAACATAAATTTAAATGATGTCTGACAGTAGGGCAGTAATTCCTTACTACAGTCTGAATTGCTGTCCTCATACTGAACTCTGCAATGCTAAAGGATGCCTTTATGTAAAACAAAAAATGCAAGTGGAAAAAAAAGACTTCCTTCATTGGTTAATGCTTACTTTTTGTCCTCTTTTTTTCAGTCGACTTTTTGGCAAAATACTGCATCTTCAGCCAGGAGAAGTTGGCGGAGTATAAAAGGGCTTTTGAAGCGGTAAGGGTAAATTCAGAATCTTTTTTTTTTTTTTCTCCTCCTGCACTCCTCCTATGTCTGTAGACAGTTAAGCAGAACTAATAAGAACCTTTGCTTGTGGTGCACGTCTTATGAATTGCCCGAACATCAAATGTAACTTTAGAATGGAGGCACGCTTTATTCTTTCTGTAAAAGTGTTCCCCAATCTATTCTTTATTTACATGCCGTGAGTCTGAGCATACACAGCCGTTTTGAACACACACACACAAAAAAAGAAAAGGCCATTAAACAAATTAACAGGAATGGGAATGACTAATACAGTAGTCTTGGCATTCACAATTTGATTAGTCTGAATTTAATACACAATAGCTGCTCCAAAGCAGAAGGTAAGTAAAACTGCTCTTTAATAACCCTGCACAATTAAATTATGGTGATGAATTCCCCATCCTGTGATTGTAAATATAGTACCCTTATTTGAATTGATGGGGGGGTAAATCTTCAATGTCAAGGATGTGACTGTAAATTAAATCAAAATAAGGCATATTGAGTGTGAAATGTCCAAAAAAAATGTAAACATTTTATTTTATAATAAAATTATGCTTAGATTTGTTTTGGTTATACTTATAAATACCATAGATATATTTTACTAATGTAAAAATTATATTTGCTGCAACATGGCATAAATCATTTTGCTAAAGCTACATTATATAGTAAAAAAAACAAAATGAACTGCTAAATTTTGTCCATGTTGCATGTTTGCTGTGTGCACTCTTAACTGGCTACAGGCTAGACTTGTACACGACAAATTCAGATTATATTTTTTTTTTTTTGATAAAACATTTCTTCAGGACAGCTGAATTTCGGCATTATGTCAGTTTGGCTTGGCAGAATTTATTAGTCACTTCTTGATCTGTGAATGAAATCTACATTTAGTGTCTTCCCCTAGCCACCAGTCATCTTTTTTTCCCATCGATAATCTCTTTTTTGGGCACCTTGGGTGGAATTCAGAATCATAAATCAAAACAAACATTGCGGCCTTTCAGTAGGTTCATGATTTGGTTACATTTCAGCGTGTTGAAGGGTTTAAGAATTTGACAATCATCCAATTGGCCCAAATTTGGAAAATTTGCATTTTAGCCCAAAACAAATCTTCTAGACTACTACAGGCAAAGCTTTACTTTCCTATGAAGAGATTTCACCAATCCTTTAATATTTTATGGCCTATGTGGTCTGGTCCATGTAATATGATCTTTTATCCATAAGCACCTGCCCAATTATATCCCCCAGCCACTATTCTACAAAATTGCTCAATAAATCAATAGCATCCATAAGTAAATTTTTATGATAATGTAAACAATTCAACTTACGCAATAACAAACAGATGCTGTTAATGTACAGTTTGTCATGAACACTGTTTTTGTATACCTCTGGATACATATTAGCACAAACATGTACAAGTACAAATACTACACAATTTTAAAGATATGTATACACTAAGTATGTTTTATTAGTATATACATGTATGTGTATTAAACTACTAATTCTAAACTTCTAACCTACTCAACTTCCCTTACAGGTGGATAGTGATGAAGATGGGTATTTAGATTGTATGCAAGTTCTAATGGCTTTGAAAGAAATTGTACCACCTCATTCACTAACCGATGCTGAAGAACTCTATGTGTATAGGGTAAGAAATTTAGTGCATGTTTGGGATTTTCCCACTTTTTTACAATTGTTTATGCATCAGACCTGTACTCCTAATCTTGTTACAATAACGGGTGAGCAGTCACAACGTACACAGTTAGAATGGTAGGGCAAGGGGTTCTGTTCCCCAATCCGCCATCAGCAGTAATGCCGTGGCCTCTAGTCTAAACACATCTTATTTGGTCATGGGGATTGCTGTCTCTTTCACCACTACATCTAACATCACCACCTCTACCACCACAACCACAATTAACAGTATTTAGCTTCAGGATAGTAGGCTTAGGAGCATGTCCGTAAAGGCCAATTCACAACCCAGTAGAAGATTGTATTTTTCTCAGCCTTTTAATGTTGCAATAAAGTGTGGTGCGCTTTTGCTTCCACTGGGATTGTAGCTTCGTTGTGATAGCTAGTTGAAGTGGTCCTCGGAGCAAGGGGTCACAAAAACCAGTGGACTTGTTGCCATTGCCTGTTTTATCTATTTCTTGTAGCTGGAAAGAAGCAACAAAAGGAGGGCTCAAAAGAGACTTTGCTGGTGCCATCAGAGCCACACATTATTGAAGATTATTGAAGAGGTAGAGCAGAAAACATCTTCTACTAGTGCCAGAAGGAGCTCCCACAGGGATATTATTAGCATCATTACCGTTACCATTAGTCAGCCAAGTGTTAGGCTAGTGTTGAGACAGTTTTTACTGCTACCGATGCAAATCCAGTTTCCTCAACCACGCAGCGAATGGTTGAGGCTAACACGTTGTGTCAAAGCAAAGTTTGGCATTACTTTGGCAGCCTCCCAGAATGGCACATTTCAAAGTTTAAAATGTGTGGAAAGGAAGTGAGTAGGGGGAGAGTGTAGGGCATTTTTCAAGTGCTGGTTTGGATCACCCAACATATGCAAACACACAACAAGTCTTTCATACTTAGGAAAGAAGCAGAAAGAGAACGTTCTATGGCAAGCAGCAGGTCTAGTTGTAATGTATCTAATTCTGTGCTATCAACTATCTCCACTGGTACCTCCTCCACTACTACCACCTTGAGGTTCAACAGTTAAATGTTGAGTCTGGTGCCACTAGCCAACAAGGACCAGTGGACTCCCTGGAATCTGTCTGTTAGTCAACACTTTTGTTTTTCATTTTACTTCAGGGGCATGTCCACACAGCAGTCTAACAAAATGATCTGCCTTATTAACCAGTTGATCGTTGTAAGAGGCACTTTCTTTTTCATGATAGAAGGGAGTCCTTTAAACAGGTGACAGAGGCCCTTGCTTTGTAATATATAATTCCCTCTGATTCACTTTCAGCAGGGACATAGTTCCACATCGCCTGGGCATATTGGTGGTAGTAGAGGAGGTCACCCTTAGAACCATGGCAGCCTGGGAGTGAATTTGTAGGGCAGCAAGGCTATCTATTGATCTCTCCAGTTACAAGTTGAAATGATTGCTAGCCAACTATTGAGACAGGAGCAAGAGAAAAGAGGGTTTTCCATACACCACCTATAAAAGGAGGGCAGCATGCGGTGGAACGCAACTTTAAAGGGACAGTATAGGCACCCAGACCACTTCAGCTCAATGAAGTGGTCTGGGTGCCAGGTCTCCCAGGTTTTAACCCTTCAGATGTAAACATAGCAGTTACAGAGAAACTGCTATGTTTACATTGCAGGGTTAATCCAGCCTCTAGTGGCTGTCTCACTGATAGCCGCTAGAGGCACTTCTGTTTTCGGTTTTAACCCCTTCAGCGCCAAGGGAGGGGGACCCTGAGGGTGGGGGGGTCCCAATGATGATATAGTGTCAGGAAAACGAGTTTGTTTTCCTGACACTATAGTGGTCCTTTAAATAAGAAGTTTGGAACAGTAGAGGGCAATCCATAGTCTATCTTACCACCACTACATTGGTGTTTATACCCCACTGAGGTGTAAGGATTGCAGAATAATAGGGCAGTTACTGTGAGTTCTTAGTTTAAAGATGTGACAGAAACTTCGAGCCAGTTTGGGACAGATCACCCTTGTTTACCCACCTTATAAACAAGATGGATGCCTTCTTGAGTGAACAAACTGGATGCCTTCTTGAGTGAACAAACTGTTAATTGCCCTGTATTGATGTTAGCGTTCCTGTGTGATCCTAGGATTAGGGTAAAGTGGCACTCTGATACAATAGCCTGATATACTGGACGGGCAGGCTTATTAACACTGTCTGTGATTTGCAGCTATAAAGTGGCATGGAAGAAAGATGTGCCCATTGAACATAGCATGGTGTCATTTTCTACTGCTCCCTACAGCAGCGGTGTCACCCTAACCCAACAAAGCTGAGTGGAGCAGCTGCAGTTTGGGCTGAGGCAAAAGTAAATTAGCACCCAGCCAATAACAGACTGTTAAAGCCTCTGAAGTAGTTAGAGCTTACCTGTGTGAACAGCATTGTCTCCTTTAAGCTATTAGAATAATAAGAAGAGTGAGTAAAGCTGCCCAGCAGCCATTTTCTCTTACGGGGAACATTCTGAATCAAGTTCAAGCTCCCGAAGTTGGCTTACACTGCACTTCACTGTGATACTTGAGGTGTCATCATCTGCTAGCTAAGATCCAATTGGCCTATCACCTCTCCCTTCAAAATGTATAAAAGTTTCCTAAAATCCAGCAATAAAAAAATGTGCAATTATAGTTCTCCTGCTGCTTATGCTGTTGCGGTTCCCTCCAATTTTCAAGTACCTTTCATAGTGGTAGTTTTGCCCTGCCTGGATGAGTATTGCTGGACATATTACCTCCTCAGATGCTATTAAGAGAAGCTGACAGAGTTTTTTTCCAAACTGAAGTATGATCACTGACGCTACAGACTGGATATGTGGGAAAGCTTTCTTGCCCAGATGGAAGGGGTGAGTAAGTGGTCAACTGCTCACTGACGTTTTCTCACATTTTTGGACTCCCCTTTTATCAATTTAAAATGACTCCTGCTCTTTATTAATACAATTTTACAAATACATTTTTGGGAGGGTGTTTGGATTGAGGACTGTATCCTGTAGTGGCTTTTACTGCCCATGGGTTTAACTCCCACCAGTCTCAGGCAGGCCGAAGAAGCAATGTATTCTATGCATGATCCCCCATTATACATCTCTTGATTGCTCTTATCAGTGTTGAGACATACATGTATCATTCTGCCAGAGATTATGGGGAGTTTTGCTACCAGATAACAACTGCTATGTGCAGCTGCTTTCATTTTAACTCATCCTTCTCCAGAGCTGCAAATAGCCTGGTTGTTTATTTGCCATAATCACACTCATCCAGCGGTCATAGATCCTATTCAGCCAACCCCCCACACACAATCACAGCCCACTCTGCACACACATATCACGCTCAGCCAACCTCCACTCCAATACACTCATGTGTATTGCTTAGGGCAGGGATAGGCAACCTTCGGCACTCCAGATGTTGTGGACTACATCCCCCATAATGCTCTTACAACCATAGTGCGGGCAAAGCATTATGGGCGGTGTAGTCCAAAACATCTGGAGTGCCAAAGGTTGCCTATGCCTGGCTTAGGGTATCTAAGAGGGGCAAAGGGGATGGAACGGGTCCAGTGGTTCCTAGTTATGCCCCTGATGGGAATGGCATTTCCCAACTCTGCCCTAAGGTTAAAAGATCTTTAACCCCAACATAAGCCCTAACTATGCATGCATTAGGACTTATTATGTTTTCATAGCCCTGAAATGACATTATACCCCCTTTGAATACCTGCATATAATTACAAATACCTAAATATTTATATTATACAGCGGGGGCCAACATCCAGAGTAGGATTTGATAGCTATATAACTTATTTGTTAGTACTTCTATTTTTTTGAAGATAGATATTATACTCGAGTCTTGGGAGATTGATCATGGGTAATTTCCCAAAGGAACAACGAGTAAAAATAGTGGAATTTTTATTTTGAAAACTTCTTGGCGAGTGAATAATTTCAAGAAATTCCCAGATTAATTGGCTGCCACGATTGCCCGTTCTTTCTGTTCCAGGCTACTTTCTGTCAGGGATAACTGAAGTAGCGGGTGTACATGGACGAACCGCATACACGTGAGCAGCTCTAAGAAAATAATCTAAATTAGAGCGCTAGAGCCTCAAACATTAACTATTACTATGAACAATGCAATCGGAAGATCCCAACTTTGTGAGGCGGCAAATGCTGCTCATTTAAAAGAGGACATCTTCCGTACCTAGTCAAACAGATCTCCATATGTTAAGCATTCATTGTATGTAACATCAGTGAAATTGGTTCATTAATATAAAAGTTTTTGACTCCTCAAGTCCTACTCTGAATTTTGGCCCACCCTGTATATGACCTATGTATAACTTAGTCAAAAGGCCAGGCCCGTGAACAAAGACTCTGGAATAATGACTCATATCTTTAATAACCATTGTTGATCCCTTGTGTGTTCATTAGCTAAAAATGCCTCCTGAATTAGGCACCACACACGCACAGCCACTATTTCTCTTAAATCACGCTCTTTCTTAGGTACATGTTGGCAAAGGGCCAAGTGCACCCAATGCTTGCTATAATAGACATGTAAAGCAATCCTTGCGGTATCTTAATTCATAATTATCCTGCACTGGGAAGGTTGAATGCTGTTCAGACATCAAACAGATATCAAATTACCAACTGATTTAATTCTAGTATGCTAATATATAAACCAACTGGGAGGCAATAGCTCTATAGCTTTGGAACCAAGTTTTGTCCCATGCCTTAGTATTCATATTGCCATTATGACACATCAATTAAGTAATGTTTGCCATTATTGTTTCATTTCATTGACTCTATCAGACCCATTTTATCCGTCTGTCAGCATTATTGTATTCCATCTCCCAATCAGATTAAAAAGAGAATACATCGCCTTATAGGCTTTGACCTTACTGAATGAATGTCCTTCCTGTGAAATAATAATGCTAATGAATCAGTAAAAATCCTTTATTGTCATGTATTATTGTGTGTTTGCTTTATCTGTGGTTTCTTTTCTTATGAAATGTTAAACCACAAAGGTAACACAGAACATTTTTCTTCTGCCTTGTACGTGTGCCTCCAATAAACATTGCTTTTATTCACGGCTTCCATGTTTTGTTTTCTACGTACAAAAACCTTTTTTTTTTTTTTTTTTAAATACAAATAATACAAAAAAAACAAACAAGTTAAACAAAGTTTTCAAAGACGACATAGAAAAAGGGGCTTGGGTACCAGGTTAGAATAGACAGATATTCTCTCTATAAAGGCATCACCTGAATGTAATAGAGTTTTAAAGGAATACTTTGTTGTTATAAAACCCTGAACGGGGGGAACCAAAGTTCTCTAGGTTTGTATTCAATACTTGAAACACAAAAGCAATTGGCTGGAAAAAAAAAGAAGTTTTTTGTTGTGAAACAAAGCTTTGTAGGACGCAATCATTGGTTTTTTTTTTTCCCCCTCTCTACAGAATGGCTGTATTCAGAGCATGGAATATGAAAGAAGCTATAATTAAACTTAACATAATACTAGTTCTAATAGTATTTTAAAAGACCTTGAATAAAGTTGTCGTGAACGTTCTTAATAGACTTTCATGCAGGAAGACAATTGATTGTAATGAAAGCTGAGATAGTGAAAAAGTGAGGCGGTGGGATGTACTTTAGCTTTTACAACTGCATTTTGACAGTGGTATAAAGCAAACATAAAGGGTTTAAGTAGCACAAACTCTTCTACTGACGAAGAATTTGAAAACATTAAGGATATACTGTTTTTAGTTGCGTGTTTAAACATGCCATTTACCTTCTGTGTCACATTCAAATGCATTTTAATACAAGCATTATCCTGTGACCTTTTTCACTTTCTACGTTTATAAACTGACTTAAAGTCATTGGGTACACAACAGGTCCAAATGAACATCCTTAGTGCTTAATGGGTACAGGGAAAAGAGGTTGTCACAGACAAGTTAGATCTATGATCTCTTTTCGGGGGGTCTTCTTGAAGACCACTGTATGTGACCCTGCTTCTATGTTATGTATAATTAAACTCATTGCAGCTGATGTTAAGACAAACAAAGGAAAAGGTAGAATATGGGGGCGGGGGGGAGTACATATTTGACTTAAAAGGATTGCAAACACACACAGACATACGTGTAACAACGTTGGTTCTTTGTTTTGCATTTTATTCAAAGTGCATTGTTTAACAATCCGTGTATATAACAGGAATTGTATTTAGATTTATCATATGCATATACATGAGGATATTTTCAGAAAAAATTATATTAAACAATACAGTACTTAAGATAACATATTTAATAATACGAATACACGCACATTTATATTTTATATATATGTTTACACACACATACACATGCACATACACACAAATATAAAATATAGAGAGGCATATATATGCCTTTACAATAGATATTATAACAAATTTGCAACATAACATGTAAACAGTCACAGGTACACTTCAAAAATAATATTGTTGTAATAAAGGTAATTTCATATATTTTTGTCTGTTTCTATCAAGTCACAAACACAAAGCCAAATGATACTTTCTATAGGCCAGGCACTGAGCTAAATCTGTACAAAAGAGCATCATAGCCCAAAGCAAGTTGTCACTCTTGGGTGCTTTAACATATTCAATTGCTTGAACTCTTTAATGGGAGAAAGCTTATGTGCAGTTCATGAGCATCTATCAATATTAGATGGTGAGTTCATTCTGCCAGCATATGCACTATTTATTATCGGCATTGCTGGTGCCCAGATGAATGTCTTTTAAAGCTTGTTTTGCTTGCTATGCTAATGTAGCCTGTGTTTGCAACAATCAAAACTCATTATCCTTCCCTCCAAGCACAGTTGCAATCTGGTCATTTCAAATTCTTCATCATCTCAGCTCCCCCAATCTCTTCTTTTTTTTTCAGATTTTAGAGATTGTTGACTATTATGTAACAGATGGCCTAACAGACCTAAGACTCTTCGCTGTGATGGCTAGCTTGGCGCAAAAAATAGCAGCACTAGAGTGAGTATTGAAAGCCATGGACGCTCATGAATTTTAACTCATTGGTGACAAAGGAATCAAACAGTGTGGTAACAGCTTCATCACTATAAAGCGTAATTAAAAGACTGTGATGGTACTTCAGACCTGAGAGTCTCTTCTTCGGAAAAAAAAAAAAAGCTGTCTTTGCATAAATCACATTAATACATTTTCAAAATCGAATAATTCAATGTATTAATCGGATTAGTCCAGCTTTACTTCATTGATTTGTAACGTTTAATTGTTCATGGCAACAACGAAAATAAGTGCATCTAGAAATATATAAGAATCCTACAATGTGCCAGCCAATAATTATTTTTTGAATAATATATTTTAATTATGCATGGGAAAGGGAAATGTGAATGACAAATTACCCAAAGTATTCCAAAAAATTCTAAGAATTTGTTGGAGTATTTTTTTTAAGAAATCTTACTTAAGAATAAACCCGATTTTTATTTTATTTTAGAGGAATACAACTTGCATCTTGTATAATTATGTGTTTTATTTTTTTCCTTTTGCAAGCTAACTGGAACAGCGCTCTAATTTAGGCCTTGATTTAATATTATTGAATAAGCTTTCACAATGATTTAATATTTTTGGATAAGCTTTTACATATTTTTTTTATATTAAAATATCAAAAATGTATCACAAAGAAAAAATATTCAGATTTCAAAAATATTAAAATATAATTTGTAAAAAAATCTTTTTCACAATATTAAATTAAATGTGTTCATTAAATAATTTTAAAAGTTTTCCCAAAAATATCAAATAATTCTGAAATTGTATCCAACAATATTAAATTGAATTCTTAATCTTTATGAGTAGAAAGTAAGCCATGAAGAAGTAAGTAGAACTATATAAAAGCATTGTCTTTTATTGTAATTATACGTTTTTTATTTAATGTTATGTATCCAAACAAATAAGAGAGAAAGGGAAACATCTGCAATATCACAGTGTATTGTGCATTTAATTTGACATAACAGGAAGCTAAGATCCAAAGAAGTCCTAAACGGTTTTAATTATAATTATATTAAATTATAATTATTAAAAATAATTATTCGTAAAACTTCAATAATCAACTGGGTTTTTTAAACAACAGCCTCAATTCAATATGCTTGCTTAAGCTTTTCAATTGATTTCATATTTTTGGATAAGCTTTTAAAATCATTTTAAAAAAAAATAATATATATATATATATATATAAAATATATTTTTAAAACATTTAATCATTTTAAAAGTTTATCGAAATATATTTAATAATTTTAAAAGCTTATCCAAAAATGTTTCATTAAGGAACTTAAATGGCTTAAAAGACTGAATGCAAAGTAATCATGTCAAAATAAGCATAAAAATAAAAATACTATTTCAGATAAATCTTGTCGAAAATATTCTAGAATTCTACACAAAGAATTAGTGGGATTGTTATTGCCAGATTTGAATAACTGTAAAGTCCCTTATGATTCTTTCTGTAATGTGCAATTCTAGCTGAAAAAATATAATTTTGCTAAATAAGTACCATGACTTTACATATTAGGATCCAATGACAGTGTAATTCTGTCAGAATAGACTATAAAGGTTCAATATAAAAAAGGGAATCTCAAATGTAGATCTGACAATGTCCTTTTGGGGGGGTTAAAGGTTTGAAATAGTGTTAATTATTTGAACTTTAATGTGTATAAGTGCAAGATAATGCATCTTGGACGTAAAAACCCAAGGGCAGAGTACAGAATATTTGATAGAGTCCTAACTGCAACATCTGAGGAAAGGGATTTAGGGGTGATTATTTCTGATGACTTAAAGGTAGGCAAACAATGTAATAGAGCAGCAGGAAATGCTAGCAGAATGCTTGGTTGTACAGGGAGAGGTATTAGCAGTAAAAGAGGGAAGTGCTCATGCCATTATACAGAACACTGGTGAGACCTCACTTGGAGTATTGTACGCAGTACTGGAGACCGTATCTCCAGAAGGATATTGATACTGAGAGTTCAGAGAAGGGCTACTAAACTGGTTCATTGATTGCGGGATAAAACTTACCAGGAAAGGTTAAAGGAACTTATCATGTATAGCTTGGAGTAAAGACACGATAGAAACATTTAAATATATAAAGGGAATCAACACAGTCAAGGAGGAGATTATATTTAAAAGAAGAAAAACTACCACAACAAGAGGACATAGTCTTAACCCCTTAAGGACACAACTTCTGGAATAAAAGGGAATCATGACAGAATATTTCCATCATGTGTCCTTAAGGGGTTAAATTAGAGGGGCAAAGGTTTAAAAATAATATCAGGAAGTATTACTTTACTGAGAGGGTAGTGGATGCATGGAATAGCCTTCCATCTGAAGTGGTAGAGGGTAACACAGTAAAGGAGTTTAAGCATGCGTGGGATAGGCATAAGGCTATCCTACCTATAAGATAAGGCCAGGGACTAATGAAAGTATTTAGAAAATTGTGCAGACTAGATTGGCCGAATGGTTCTAATCTGCCATCACATTCTATGTTTCTATGTAAATAGACAGAGCTTTCTATGCTGACCCAGGTTCTTTAGGGACCAGATGGTGAAGTGTCCTTTTTTTGGGGGGGTGGGGGGGGAGGGGTTAAAGGTTTGATATAGTGTTAATTATTTGGACATACAAGATTCATGCAAATTGTAATCTCATAATTCTTCATTAAGTAAAAAAAATACAGACATAGCACAACATTAACCTTTTTTAGTGGAGAGCAGAGCAATGTGGTTCTTTTCCCTGCGTCACTGAAAGGGAAATTTAAATTAATGAATACATGCTGTATTAAGTAATGCATGCTGTGAGACTCCTGCATGTAATTAGAGAGAGACAATCAGCTCCCTCATGCTGTCCATTAAAAATAGGGGCCATTCCTCATACCCTTTCTCAGTGTATTACACCCCACTGCACATGGGATAGAAAAAGAGGAGAGGCTTATGGCATCACTGGGGACACCACTTTTTTAGAATGCATTTTTTTTTTAAAGTTTTAGATAAGTAGAGGCACTCAGTGTGAGGGAGCTAACAAGCACTCTTTAATTACATGCTGAGGTCTCACAGACCCCAACAGATATCATTTAATAGATTATTTTTCTCTTTCTGTGCCTCAGGGTAAAGCAGCACCTAATCCCAATTTTTGTTACAGCCCTGAAAAGGTTACACAGACATGAAAGTGGAACATTATTAACAGGATTATTCATTAAACACCAGATTTTGTCCGGATGGACAAAATCGTGTGGAAATGACTGAAGTTCAAACATAAGGGCAATTCTGATATGTACTAAACCTAAATACGGTTGGAATTGGGATGGCACAAGCAGCAATCTGCAGCAATCACACAGATGCATTGGAATTGGGATGGCACAAGCAGCAATCTGCAGCAATCACACAGATGCATTGGGATTGGGATGGCACAAGCTGCAATCTGCAGCAATCACACAGATGCATTTAGTGTCTGGATTAAAATCAATGCTCTCGCATCTGTATCTTATGCAAACTATAGGGTTGGAAAGATTCACAAAGCACCAGTTTTACAAAAATTTGGAACTGAATGCATCTGGTAGGATGCATATCCACAATTATTTTTCACATACCTTTCGTTCACTTGCACAGCAGCCAGCAACCACTATGAGGGTTAAATTGCGGCTTGCTAGCCAGCTACCACATTATACAGTTAAATAAATGAATAAAAAGTCTCTGAGGGTGAATGAAATTACTATAATAATTAAAAATAATATAATAAAACCCCACTATGTTCCCACCTCCCATGCTGCATATATACTAAATGCTGTCCTCATGGACATCAGGTGGGTCATTTTAGGGGTGAGCTATCCAATAAAAGAAATTGGGAGGATTTACTAATGTCCCCATTCGTGATCAGAGTATGGTGGCTATTAAAGTATAAGGGGTAGGACCTAGTGTCCCTGGCCCCCATGCATTGGTGACTGGTGGGGGTCCTATTTCTTATAATCAAGAGGAGGAAAGGGTCTCCAATCCCCTAGCCACCCTCTGTTAAAATTAAATAGTCCTACCTATTCCATCACCATAATAATCTACTTATCATCAGAAGTCTTCTTTCTTCTAACTCTTCTTCTCTTCAAACCCCAAAAAAGCAAAATTTAAATCCATAATTACTGATGCAATTAATGATAAAAAAATTAGCACACAAAAAAAATAAACAAAAAATGCAAGAGCAATTAAAATAATCCACTTCTTTCCCATGGTGGCTCACCTCAAACTAAGCATTGACAGTGGAGAAGACCATTATTAAGGCTTTCACACACTTTGTACTATATTGCATTGTGTGATAAAATTCCCGTGCTATGCAGTATCATTAAGAGTAATCTGATTGGTTGGCTTGTTAACTCATTTTTGGGTGCTGTGGGGGATGGGGACTATGTCTACCCCTTATATTATGATAGCTCCCACTGTTTGTCAGTGTGTGGGGGCTAGTATATATGTGGTCTATCCACCCCCCATATTATTTATTTTAAAGTTTCCCACCCAATTTCCACTGGTGCTTCATCCAATGCCCAGGTTTAAAACCTCCCCTAGACTAATATGGGGGTCTTTTTAAACCCCGCAGGTTTTTTATTTATCTATTAACTATTTAATGTAACTATTGTTCTATGGGGTTGAGGTCAGGGTGGACCAGTCAAGTCCTTTTACACCAAACTCATACAACCATGTCTTTATGGACCTTGCTTTGTTCTCTGGGGCACAGTCATTCTGGAATAGAAAAGTGCATTCCACAAACTGGTCCCACAATGTTGGAAGCATAGCATTGGCCAAAATGTATCGGTATGCTGAAGCATTATGATTTCCCATTACTGGAAGTAAGAGGCCTAGCCCAACCACTAAAAAAACAACCCCATACCTTCATCCCTCCTCTACCAAACTTTACAGTTGGCAAATGTAGTCAGACAGTTAATGTTCTCCTTACATCCGGCAAGACTCACCCATCAGATTGCCAAACAGAGAAGAG